TACAATATACTGTACAGTACATGTGGTTGTACTAATACGTATATACTGTACAGTACATGTGGTTATACTAATACAGTGTATACTGAACTGTACTACAATATACTGTACAGTACATGTGGTCATACTAATACAGTATATACTGAACTGTACTACAATATATTGGACACTACATGTGGGTTGTACTAATACTGTACAGTACTGTACTACAATATGCTGTACAGTACAGTACTAGAATATACTGCACAGTACTGTATACAATATACTGTGCAGTACTGTACTACAATATACTGTACAGTGAACCCTCACTTTTAGCGGTCAATTGAACCCACGGCTGCCGGCGTGAAGTGAAAGTAAGTGAACAACATAACATATGGGATTAATGAAATAGAGCTGGGCTGACCCCCAAACTCCACTTTTTCAGACACAATACCTACGTTGTAGTAAAAATAAGCGTCTTAATTTTATGATGGTATGCACACACAATTAATAATTAAGAGAAATATCAACAATATTAGGTTTTTTAACTTACATTAGTAGAAAGATGGCTGGGCACGCGGGGATGGGGGTTGGTTCCGGGCAGGGGCAGATTATTGGCCTCACCTGTATCAGTGTATCACTATCCACCACAGAGGCTTGCAGGGCCTCTTTGTCAAACCCTTGAAGTCCATATAAATCCATATCCTCACTATCACTGACTTGTGGTGGGTGAAGAACTTGGTAATGTTTTGATGACTGGGCGACCTTGTCGCACCCTGCTGCGCCGCTCTCCGCGTAAAGGGTACACACACGCGGAAAGTGAGCATTCCAGTTTGACGGGTACCCGCATGGCGATGGAAAGCAGCGTAAGTGGAGACCGGCGTAAAGCGACGGTTGACTGTACTACAATATACTGTACAGTACTGTACTACAATATACTGAACAGTACAGTACTACAATATACTGTACAGTACTACTTATACTGTACAATACTGTGCTACAATATACTGTACAGTACTGTATACTGTACAGTACAGCACTAATATACTGCACAGTACTGTACTACAATATACTGTACAGTACAGTACTACAATATACTGTACAGTACAGTACTACAATATACTGTGCAGTACTGTACTACAATATACTGTACAGTACAGTACTACAATATACTGTACAGTACTGTACTACAATATACTGTACAGTACAGTACTACAATATACTGTACAGTACTGTACTACAATATATTATTACAGTGCTGTACTACAATATACTGCAGTACAGTACTACAATATACTGTACAGTGCTGTACAATATACTGTACAATTACAGTACTACAATATACTGTACAATACTGTACTACAATATATTGTGCAATGCACTACAATATACTGCACAGTACAGTACTACAATATACTGTACAGTACTGTGCTACAATATACTGCACAGTACAATTGCTACAATATACTGCACACTACTGTACAGTGTTACAATATACTGTAAGTGCTGTGCTACAATATACTGCACAGTACTGTGCTACTATATACTGTACAGTACTACAATATACTGTACGTGCTGTTGCTACAATATACTGTACAGTATGCTACTACATATACTGTGCAGTGCTGTACTACAATATACTGAACAGTACAGTTACTACAATATACTGTACAGTACTGTACTACAATTTACTGAACAGTGCAGTTACTACAATATACTGTACAGTACAGTACTACAATATACTGTACAATACTGTACACAATATACTGTACAGTACAGTACTACAATATACTGTGTACAATACTGTACTACAATATATGTACAGTGCTGGCACTACAATATGCTGAACAGTACAGTACTACAATATATTGTACAATACTGTACTACAATATACTGTACAGTACAGTTACTACAATATACTGTACAATACTGTACTACAAATACTGTACAGTACTGTACTACAATATACTGAACAGTACAGTACTGCAATATACTGTAAGTACTGTACTACATGTACAGTACTGTGCTACAATATACTGTACAGTACAGTACTACAATATACTGTACAGTACTATATACTGCACAGTGCAATTACTACAATATACTGTGCAGTGCTACAGTCTACAATATACTACTGCAATGTGTGCTACAATATACTGCACAGTGTTGTTACTACTAAATACTGTACAGTACAACAATATACTGTACAGTACTATACTACACAGTGCTGTACTACAATTTACTGGTACAGTACTACAATACTGCGTACTGTACTACAATATATGAACAGTACTACTACAATATACTGCACAGTGCTGTACTACATTATACTGTACAGTACAGTGCACACAATATACTGTATAGTACTGTACTACAATATACTACACAGTGCTGTACTACAATATACTGTACAGTACAGTACTACAATATACTGTACTATGCCTGTACTGTGCTACAATATACTGAACAGTGCAGTACTACAATATGCTGTGCAGTACTGTACTACAATATACTGCAGTATTGTACTACAATATACTGCACAGTACTGTGCAATTGCTACAATATACTGTACAGTACCAGTACTACAATATACTGTACAGTACAGTTCTACAAAATGCTGTACCAGTACAGTACTACAATATACTGTACAGTGCAGTTACTACAATATACTGTACAGTACAGTACACAAAATACTGTGCAGTTACAGTACTACAATATATATGCAATTACAGATTACTACAATATATATGTACAGTACTGTACTACAATATACTGTACAGCACAGTACTACAATATACTGTACAGTACTGCACTATTATACTGTACAGTACAGTACTACAATATACTGTATAGTACTGTACTACAATATACTGTACAGTACAATTACTACAATATACTGTACAGTACAGTACTACAAAATACTGTACAGTACTGTACTACAATATACTGTACAGCACAGTACACAATATACTGTACAGTGCACTGCTACAATATACTGTACAGTACAGTACTACAATATACTGTACAGTACTGTACTACAATATACTGTTCAGTACAGTACTACTATATACTGTACAGTACTACAATATACTGTACAGTGCTGTGCTACAATATACTGTACAGTACAGTACTACAATATACTGTACAGTACTGTTACAAATATACTGTACATTGCAGTACTACAATATACTGTACAGTACTGTACTACTACTATACTTGTTAGTACAGTACTACTATATACTGTACAGTACTACAATATACTGTACAGTACTGTACTAATATACTGTACAAGTACAGTACTACAATATACTGTACAGTACTGTGTACTATACTGTACTGTACAGTACTACAATATACTGTACAGTACTGTACTACAATATATACAGTACAGTACAGTACAATATACTGTACAGTACAGTACTACAATATACTGTACAATGCTGTACTACAATATACTGTACAGTACAGTACTACAATATACTGTGCAGTACTGTACTACAATATACTGTACAGTACTGTACTACAATATACTGTACAGTACAGTACTACAATATACTGTACTACAATATACTGTACTACAATATATGTACAGTACTGTACTACAATATACTGTACAGTACTGTACCATACTACAATTACAGTACTGTATTGTAGTGGCTCCTCTCCCCTACAACTCCCAACTGAGCTCCGGCCGCGCGCCTACCAGCCAATCAGCATACAGCTTTTTTTTCCAAGTTTAGAAGCTCCAACAACTTTCCTGAATACGAATCGCAAATGATTTCGATTTGCATAACAGGTACCTACTTTTACTGCTAGGTGAACAGGGACCAAGGGGGCTAGGAGGAGTGTCCAAACAACAACTTCCGCTTTCTGCTCCGGGAACGCGTACAGCCAGCTACGCCGAGCGACTAGGTCTATACAGAGGACTTAGGGGTACGATCGCCGACCTAGTCTCGACCTTCAACCTCCATCTCAGGATCAGAGCGTTTCACACCTTACGCTTAAGCCGCTGTGATTGGCCCTCTTGCTACGCTCACCCCAAATCCTGATCCTCGTAAATTGTATAAATACGGCCATGCCTGGCCAGGGAGACCATTCTACACTCGGCTACCGGACCAGCAGCACCTCTCGCAGCTCCACACCACCTAGCTTCCTCAGAAACCTCCTCGCCCTACAGGACCTCTGAGCAAGTTTCTCCTCACCTAGTCACTCCTAAGCACTGAGCTGTACAACAATATATATACAGAAAGCACATTGTGAGTTTCTTTCCTACCTCATTCCTGAGTGTGAGATATCTACATGTACGTACGTTTGTGTGCCCATAATAAGAGAATTGACAACTGGCCACATACAATACGCTACAATTGGTGACCCCTGGAGCCGGGAATAAAACACTCCTTTCTGCTGCCTTACTCCTGGAGCTGAGAAGATCGTCCTGCCTGCTGTTGTTGTTATTATTATTTTTATTATTAATTATTAAATTTTCGCCCCCAGGCCTCGATGTGGGTCATTGACCTGTGCCCTGGTGGGCTAACTCGTAAAGAAAAATAATTATGGGAAATTTTGAAAGTTCATTAAATATTAGTTAAAGTAAAAAGATAAGAGTAATTACAGTACAAAGTAAATTTAAATCACATTACTTATAAAATATTAAATTATAAGTGACAACTGTTTTGTACCAGCGGCCACGGTTATACCTTAAATAAAATAATAAAAAGAACATGACAACAGCTAGAGCGGTTAGTAAGCTTATAAGGAGCAATGGTGAAATTATAATTAAAAAATATTTAGGCCATGTTTCAGTCAACAGCTGATGGAAGTAAACAAACACGACCTGGTGGTTTATGTTAACCAAATACCCCAAATAATATTACGAAACCGTTTATTGAAAAGATTGATTTTAAATCTAAGAAACATTAATTATGCTGTATTAAATAATATTATTATTATTTTGAGTTAGGTCAGTATAAGTTCTGTTGCCTTTTGTCGTCATTAAAATAATAAGTTTGTGGGAGATGGTCGTGGTGATACTATAACAGAGGCCATAGACAGAGGCCATGGTACACATCAACCATCAGCTGTTGTCCACTCAAGTGACGGCCTTGACGGTGAAAAATGACATTATTTTCATCGGTAAGTGGTAGATAGTTTAAGGGGGCAGTTGGAGACCCGTGTTTGGCTCAATTTAGTGTGTTCGCGAGATACAGAAGTGACTACTAACCACCCTTACTGTGGCACCACTACCACCCTTACTGTGGCACCACCATCACCCTTACTGTGGCACCACCACCACCCTTACTGTGGCACCACCACCACCCTTACTGTGGCACCACTACCACCCTTACTGTGGCACCACCACCACCCTTCTGTGGCACCACTACCACCACCCACTACTTACTGTGGCACCACCACCACCCTTACTGTGGCACCACTACCAACCACTACCACCCTTACTGTGGCACCACCACTGTCACCACCACCACTACCTTACTGTGGCACCACCACCACCACTTGCTGTGGCACCACCACCACCCTTACTGTGGCACCACCACCACCCTTACTGTGGCACCACCACCACCACCCACCTTACTGTGGCACCACCACCACCACTTACTGTGGCACCACTACACACCCTTACTGTGGCACTCACTACCACCCTTACTGTGGCACCACCACCACCCTTACTGTGGCACCACCACCCTTACTGTGCCATTTACTGTGGCACCACCACCACCCTTACTGTGGCACCACTACCACCCTTACTGTGGCACCCTTACTGTGGCACCACCACCACCACCACCACCACTACCCTACCACCTTACCAACCACTTACCACTTACTTTACTGTGGCACCACGCCACCCGCTTACCACCACTTACTGTGGCACCACCACCACCCTTACTGCTGTGGCACCACTACTGTGGCACCACCACTACCCTTACTGTGGCACCACTACACCCACCCACCACCACCTTACTGTGGCTCACCACTACCACTGTGGTCACCACCACCCTTACTGTGGCACCCTGTGGCACCACCACCACCAACTGTGGCTACCACCACCCTTACTGTGGCACCACCACCACCCTTACTGTGGCACCACCACCACCCTTACTGTGCACCACCACCACTGTGTGCACCACCACCACCCTGTGGCACCACCACCACCCCTTCTGTGGCACCACTACCACCCTTACTGTGGCACCCACCACCACTGTGGCACCCACCACCCTTGCTGTGGCACCACCACCACCCTTACTGTGGCACCACCACCCCTTGCTGTGTCACCACCACCACCACCCACCACCACCACACTTACTGTGGCACCACCACCACCCTCTGTGGCACCACCACCACCCTTGCTGTGGCACCACCACCACCCCCTGTGGCACCACCACCACCCTTACTGTGGTGGCACCACCACCACCCTTACTGTGGCACCACCACCACCTTACTGTGGCACCACCACCCTTACTGTGGCACCACTACCACCATACTGTGCACCACCACCACCCTTACTGTGGCACCACCACCACCCTTACTGTGCACCACCACCACCCCTTACTGTGGCACCACCACCACCCTTACTGTGGCACCACCACCACCTGTGGCACCACCACCCCCTTACTGTGGCACCACCCACCACTTGCTGTGGCACCACCACCACCCCTTACTGTGGCACCACCACCACCCTGTGGCACTGCTGCTGTGCACCACCACCCTTACTGTGGCACCACTACCACCCTTACTGTGGCACCACCACCACCCCTTACTGTGGCACCACTACCACCCTTACTGTGGCACCACTACCACCCTTACTGTGGCACCACTACCACCCTTACTGTGGCACCACCACCACCCTTACTGTGGCAATATTTGTAATTTTCATGATCAGTGTCTGAACTAATCATCCCAACTGGATCAAATTTTTGTTTTATGATTTAGCACTTAGTATATTAGCTTAGATTAGGTTTAGTTAGTGTTAGGTTAGGCTAGGCTAGGCTAGGTTAGGCTTATTTAGGTTATGTTATGTTAGGTTAGGTTAGGTTAGGTTATATTAACTTAGATTTAAGAAGGAAACAGTTATATGTATTATGGGAACTACCAAACAGAGATTGTCAGTTTTCCATAAAGTAGTCGTGAGCCTCTGTGTTCCTCAGGTTTTAACAAATTAAAATAAACAGAACTTTTATCTTTAGAAGAAACAGATCAAAGACTGACATTGTAAAGTGATTTAATTTTCCCAAAATGAGACTTAGTGTAGTGATGCTGTACGTGGTTTTGATTCCCTACAGTTTGTATTAGATGGTGGCCAGTTGTTGTATGGAGGCGCGAAATGTTCTCAGGGTGGAGTAGTTAGTGGAGTGTAATTATTGTTTTATAAATCTGATATTGGTTACTTGTACTACAAATACCAACCATGTATGTTGGGTCAATGTGTGAAGAGTTTACTTAAATTCTGTCTATCTATCTATCTATCTATGTAACTTTGAAGATAAGAGTGGAGAGTTAGATGAAGGAGTTATTGAAGACTCTGGTAACAGTTAAGGACAAGGGTCTGGGTCAAAGTTAATGGAGGAATAACACTTTTATGATAATTTGTGTGTGTCTATACTTCAAATTTACGTGAGGTGAAACAACATTTTACAGATATTTTTGTTGTCATTCCATACTCCTCGAGAACAGACAACAACAACAACTTTAATATAATTTGTGTATTGACGGTGGTGATCAAATTATTCTCTGTTACGTTAATGAAGAATATTTTCCCAAAATAATAAAAAATAGGATTTGAAATTTTTTCGTAATACAGTGATATCTCTGTTAACCGGAACAATTGGTGCAGAAGACCTCCGGGAATGAGAGATTTCCGGGTCACGAGACGTCTCTCTCAAAGACGGAAAAAAATTCCTCATCTCCGGAATTTTCCGGGTAAAGGAAAAATGTTCTCAGAATTTTCTGGAAAATGTGCCCCTCGGAAAATTTCAACTCCTGCTATTGGAGAGTTCCGGGTCTGAGGGATTCTGGCTTATGGAAATATTACTGTATTAACTTGGCAACACACACAAGTGCTTCCCATCAGTGTTGTCTTCTTCACCAACACAAACACTTCCAGCGAATGTTTTTAGATTATTAGCTTTATCGTGCGCACGTAACCTGTAAGATGAACAGACGATGGCAGTAGGCAGCTGCCAAACAGGGAGGTACTACCGCCTGGGAACATATTGGAAGCATTAATGTGTTGTCTAATGGTAGACCCTGCTGCTATATGTGACCAAGTCCCAGGTTGATGATCTGACTTTCTGCCTCATTTACACACAATTGCAGGGTCTCAATTGTTTCTCTTACTATTGACAACACAACTATTGATTTTTTCTAATTTTTGTATTTCTTTAGGTTCTTTATTATTATTATTATTACTACACTGTTGTTATTATTATTATTATTATCATCATTATTAATTTATTATTTTATTTTAAGTTTTGTATTTTTTTATTATTAAATTTATTTACACTGTACTATGAATTACAGTCTCTCCTCGATTTACGACGGGGTTCCGTCCTGACGACCAGGTCGTAAGTAAAATTGGTCGTACGTCGAAAAGGCAAAAATAATACATAGAAATTCTAAAATGGGTGTCTTTTTTCTTCTCAGCACCGAAGTTAAGAATCTTATGGAAGGTAATTCGTTAACCGAAATCTTGTTAACAGAGGCGCTCGTTAACCGAGGGATCACTGTATTATTATTACAAAATTTTCGCCCCTCAGGCCCTGATGTGGGTCAGTGACCTGTGCCCAGGTGGACTAATCCCCGTAAAAAAAAACACACAAAAAACGACCTCTTCTTGTATGGATTTTTATTACTGATATCTCTCGTTTAGCTTTAATTCACTCAACATTAAATTCGGTTTAGCTGCAAAGAATTTTGACACTCTTGCTTAATGTTAGGTCTAGCTTGACCCACTGGGAAGGGTGGAAACTGGGGATGGGGTAACTAGTTTATTTCACCCGAGATTGACCACACTAAGGCTGCTGGTCCAGTTAGGTCAGGTTAGGTTAGCATTGGGATGGTTTGTAACAATGTCATGAGTCTCCCGCCACCCGGGAGTTCCCGCCAATTCCAAGCCAATAGTGTGAAGGCCTTAGGCCTGTTTTCGACCAATGATAAAGCCTATGAGGCGTGACATCATGAAAGTTGTGGCGTCTCTTGTAGGCTGACGCTGTTTGAACAGGAGTCTGTGTTGGAATTTTGTGTAGGGAGGTGTGGGACGTCTGTAGTGGCAACATGGCAGGTATTTGGGTGTAGTATTCTATTTGATAAATCCTTAAGTTCCCATTTGTTGTGAGATACGTGGTCCCCTCTTAACTAGCTAAGAACATAGGTTTATTATTTTGAGGTGGAGCTGTTAAACCCTAATATAAAGTATTCAATAAATACAGTAACCATTAATAAGAGTCATGAGTCATCCCTCCCTTGTAAGAAAGAGTAAGTTGATATAAAAAATATGTTACATTAAATTAGGGACACATATATAAATCATTTATTTGTTACAGGTTAATCTTCAGATGAAATAAGCTGGGGTGTCTAATCTTCAGGTGAAATAAGTTAGGGTGTCTAATCTTCAGGTGAAATAAGCTTGGGTGTCTAATCTTCAGGTGAAATAAGCTTGGGTGTCTAATCTTCAGGTGAAATAAGTTAGGGTGTCTAATCTTCAGGTGAAATAAGCTGGGGTGTCTAATCTTCAGGTGAAATAAGTTAGGGTGCCTAATCTTCAGGTGAAATAAGCTGGGGTGTCTAATCTTCAGGTGAAATAAGCTGGGGTGTCTAATCTTCAGGTGAAATAAGCTGGGGTGTCTAATCTTCAGGTGAAATAAGTTAGGGTGTCTAATCTTCAGGTGAAATAAGCTGGGGTGTCTAATCTTCAGGTGAAATAAGTTAGGGTGTTTAATCTTCAGGTGAAATAAGTTAGGGTGTCTAATCTTGAGGTGATCCAACAATATTATCAAGATACTGTTCTAGTGTGTTGATACCATTGTGGTTCTTAACCTAAAGTTTCACCCATATTTTGATTAAGTCGGTTAGGTTAGGCTAGGTTGGTGTGTTACTGTTCTCTTATAAGTGATTCATGTCGTAACTGTATAATAAGATGACTGTACAGTACTTTACTTACAGAATTACTGAACAAATTTATTAGACTTAGTGGGATGAGGTGAGGAACAGTGGAGAACGCGGTTAGTTTAAATATATAACACTGTATAAACAACTACAAATTTAAGTACTGTATACACTACAGTGATGTATGAGGAGTGTGGATATAGCGCTTGACTCCTGTTCCAGAGGTCGGTGGTTCATTCCCCGGGCACTCTCACTTCACCCAGCTGTAAATGGGTCCCTAAGTTACAATTTGGGGAAGTGAGTGTGGTTGAGAGCTGTACCGGCCATACTGCCTCCTTGTGTACTGAACGAAGGCTTAGTATACAGTACTGTGTGCTGTATCTGTACTGTCCTTATATGAGCAGTCATGTATGGGACCCACATTTTTCACAGTGATGTATATTTTATAATAATTACTGAACCTTACAACTAATTCCCTGACACAGTACTGCACTGTACTTCCTACATGACTGCCACAACAATACACTTACACTATAACCCTTACAGTAATATAGTGTAATAATTGTGTCTGTCTATGATGACGTCTGAATAAGTTTTATTAATGAGAAAATTGTAGAATACAGTACAGTAGTTTACCCTATTTTATTTGTCAGGCGAAGGGCAGCATCTCCACGTCCACAACATCAACACTGGGGCTTGGTTGTCCAGTGTTGAAGTTTTCCGTGCGGCGGTGATTCACGGCATCCAGTTCCACTCCAGCCTCGTCTGCCAGGGAGATGTGTGGAGGGCGGCCGTGTTTGGGCAGAAGAGTTTGGCTGTGTTGTGGTTTGATCCCAGACTCTGTTTATGGTAGGTGATATATGAACCATCACAGGTGTTTATCCCACCCCATGTATGATGCATCACAGGTGTTTATCCCACCCCATGTATGATGCATCACAGGTGTTTATCCCACCCCATGTATGATGCATCACAGGTGTTTATCCCACCCCATGTATGATGCATCACAGGTGTTTATCCCACCCCATGTATGATGTATCACAGGTGTTTATCCCACCCCATGTATGATGCATCACAGGTGTTTATCCCACCCCATGTATGATGCATCACAGGTGTTTATCCCACCCCATGTATGATGCATCACAGGTGTTTATCCCACCCCATGTATGATGCATCACAGGTGTTTATCCCACCCCATGTATGATGCATCACAGGTGTTTATCCCACCCCATGTATGATGCATCACAGGTGTTTATCCCACCCCATGTATGACATGTATGATCCCATCACAGGTGTTTATCACCCATGTATGATGCATCACGGGTGTTTATCACCCATGTATGATGCACATCACAGGTGTTTATCCACCCATGTATGATGCATCACAGGTGTTTATCCCACCCCATGTATGATGCATCACAGGTGTTTATCCCACCCCATGTATGATGCATCACAGGTGTTTATCCCACCCCATGTATGATCCATCACAGGTGTTTATCCCACCCCATGTATGATGCATCACAGGTGTTTATCCCACCCCATGTATGCCTTGATGCATCTGGTGTTTATCCCACCCCATGTATGATGCATCACAGGTGTTTATCCCACCCCATGTATGATGCATCACAGGTGTTTATCCCACCCCATGTATGATGCATCACAGGTGTTTATCCCACCCCATGTATGATGCATCACAGGTGTTTATCCCACCCCATGTATGATGTATCACAGGTGTTTATCCCACCCCATGTATGATGCATCACAGGTGTTTATCCCACCCCATGTATGATGCATCACAGGTGTTTATCCCACCCCATGTATGATGCATCACAGGTGTTTATCCCACCCCATGTATGATGCATCACAGGTGTTTATCCCACCCCATGTATGATGCATCACAGGTGTTTATCCCACCCCATGTATGATGCATCACAGGTGTTTATCCCACCCCATGTATGATGCATCACAGGTGTTTATCCCACCCCATGTATGATGCATCACAGGTGTTTATCCCACCCCATGTATGATGTATCACAGGTGTTTATCCCACCCCATGTATGATGCATCACAGGTGTTTATCCCACCCCATGTATGATGCATCACAGGTGTTTATCCCACCCCATGTATGATGCATCACAGGTGTTTATCCCACCCCATGTATGATGCATCACAGGTGTTTATCCCACCCCATGTATGATGCATCACAGGTGTTTATCCCACCCCATGTATGATGCATCACAGGTGTTTATCCCACCCCATGTATGATGCAAGAGAGAAAATATTGATTATTGTTGAGAGGAGGATTAGCTTGAGGGAGTCTGTCTCTCTGTTGTTTGTTTCTTATTTAATATTTGTCTTGAGCTACTGTATTGTGGTGTGTGAGAACAGTGGTGACCAGTAGATGTGAACAGGGGTGTTGTGAGGAGCCCTTCTGTGAGGTGACTGAGGCCATGGTAGGAGTTTTCTCTTTGGCAGGAAAGTTGCACAACAAGCTAAGCATTGCAGGAAGAATTCACATCATGATACCATAAACTTGCCTCCACCCATTTGTTTAAGTCAACCTGTGTTTATACCCCACGTGTATGGGCTCCCCTTTGAGCTAAATAAAATAGTCTGGCATTGCCCGAATAAAATATTAAAAGTTGTGTCTCTGTAGTGAAGGTGTTAAAAGCTTAAAGTGAACCAATATATTACAGTAGATAAGTTACACCATGCTCTCACCTTTCAGCCGTGTGTTACTGGAAGAACGACACTTTGATGACTGGATCGTTGATGCCGCCTGGGAAGATGATGCATCACATGTTGTTCTGGCGTTGGCACACAATTCTCTTCTTCGTTATCAAATTCAAAATTTGGTTGAATCTATTAAAGTAAAGTCAGTATATGAAAGCAATCAAAGAGGAGCCAACAGTAAATCTCTGGAAGCACAAGACAAGATGGTGGACCCCAGAGAGGAAAATACCTGTTTTCATTATGACCGAACATCACAAATGAGTGTATTGAAGGCCGGTCACCGTAGCGACACACAGCGGCAAAAGCTAAGCATTTATCACAAGAGAGATAGATTTATAGTCGCCACAGCTGAGAGTTCAGAAAAATGTGTCCTGTTCTGCGGTCGTGTGGTGATGATGTCTGGTTCGTGGGAGAGCGCAGTCCTTCTGGCAGGCATGGTGTCCCAGCAGCTGGTCGTATGGGGAGCCTGGGGGGACACTGATGATAACGGCACAATTGTTCCTCTTCATTCCTTAATTGGTCATCAGGTAAGTGTATCAATGTTCTTTATTATAGTATTTTAACAATTGACTGTCCTCGGGGGGAAACGTTAACGGAGGCCGAATAACTGTACCACTTTGCCAACTAAGACGGAGAGCGGGTGAAGACTCAGGAGGTAGAAACATGGTGAATTAATTTGTTTATTTATGTCACTTACCACACACTCTCACCTCTGGCTCTCCACTACTTACACTGTACCACCACATTTTCTACTTCTGGTCTATACTTAAGAAAAGTTTCTCAAGGTTCAGTGAACATTTTTGGGGGGCTGCCTCACCTCAACAACATTTAACACATAAAACAAATGGCCTTACTTAATAGAGATACTGTACAGGTAGTTAGTCCCTTATTAGTGAAAATTTGATAATGAAAATATACTTAATTAATGTATGTACTGTAGTTGTTTTTTCTACCAGTATTGAAGCTTATTTCTTTCACTCACTCTCTCCATTATTATCCAACACTCACAATGTCTATCAATAATGTTTCAGTGTTTCTTCTACATAACTTACTCCTCAAACCCACAGTAGATTCTATTACAGTAATACCCTGATTTACGCGGTTAATTGAACCCGCGGAGTAGCGCGTAAAACGAGAAACGCGTAAATGGAATAACAGAACATGTGGGATTAAATTGAAATAGAGACTAGGTCGACTCCCAAACTCCACTTTTTCAGACACAATACTTACGTTGTAGTAAAAATAACATCTTAATTTTATGATGGTATGCACACACAATTAATAATTAAAAGAAATATCAATAATATAAGGTTTTTTAACACTTATGTTAGTAGAAAAGATGGCTGGGCACACGGAGATGGGGGGGTTGGTTCCGAGGCAGAGGGCAGATTATTGACCCTCACCTGTATCACTTGAATCAATTGTATCACTATCCACCACAGAGGCTTGCAGGGCCTCTTTGTCAAACCCCTCAAATTCCATATACAGTGGGGTATGCTATAACGAATCTAATTGGTTCTAGAACCTTGTTCGTTATAGCATTCGTTCGTTATAGGATTAATCCGTTCCAGGCCCCCAAATACAACCACTTAACACTGAAAAATATAATATAAAATTGAAAAAATTGTAAAAAAGTGCATAAATATGCATCTAAACCCTGAAATAAAGAATATCATTAATATTTGTAATAAAAAAACAATAAATTAGAAAAATTAATTTAAATAATGTTCGTTGTAGGAGTTTCGTTCGTTATAGCATTCTCAATTTTATAGGTAAAACCGTTCGTTATAGGAATATTCGTAGTAGGATCCGTTCGTTATAGCATACCCCACTGTAAGTCCATATCCTCACTATCACTGACTTGGGCCGGCTGTGGTGGGTGGCGGGTGAAGAACTCGGTAATGTTTTGATGACTGGGCGACCTTGTGCGCACCCTGCCTGTGCCGCTTCCCTCGTAAATGAGTAAATTCACCGCGTAAATCGGGCATCCCGGTTCTGGCAAGGTACCGCGTAAATGACCAAACGCGTAAACGAGAACCACGTAAATCAAGGTTCAACTGTATATAATAATAATGATAATAATAATAATAATAATAATAATAATAATAATAATAATAATAATAATAATAATAATATAATATTAATAATAATTATAATAATAATAATAATAATAATAATAATAATAATAATAATAATAATAATATGCCCTTCAAATTCACGGGGTCAGGATCTCAAATGGCATGAATCATCAAATCCAGAAATAACATTTGCTGACTGGGGTGGGGGGCATTGTGTGCAAAGAAATGTATACAGTGATCCCGCGGTTACCGAATGGTTCGATTAATGGAATTTCTGTTAATATTTTGCATTTTTTATATTAAAATTATTAGTCATTTTAAAATTTAGTTAACATATTGATAATATATGCAGTACAAGGAACTAGTTTTTTGTGCGCCCATCAGCCACTTGACTCAGCCACCTGGCGTCAGTTTGGCTTTGTTGACAGTGGAGTGAGCATCTATTTTGTTGGTGTCTTGAATATTTTTCCAATTTTACATTGAAATTATTGGTCATTCTGAAATTTAGTTAACATATTGATAATGTATAACACAGTGCAGTGTTGATTTAAATAAAATAATCTTGAATTACACCTAGTGAACTTAAAAAATTTATTGGTGAAATGACTGCATGAAGCATGGGTCCCCTGAAAGGTGATTTCTCCTCCATTCCCATTTCCTTCTCTTCTCCCTTCTCCTCCACCCTTAATTCTAATTCCCATCATCATCATCATCAACCAGGAACCTTCTACATACACACCTCAAAGTAAGTGTACTTGCTGTGGAAGATAATTTTCTTCTTCCATCAGTTCTTTAAATTCCACTAAAAACTTTGCTGCCCCTTCCTTATCAGCACTAGCAGCTTCACCATGCCTAACAACAATGAAAATGTCACTTCTTTTCTTAAATTTTTCGAACCAGCCTTTGCTGGCCCGAAAATCTTCAAATTCTGTGCCTGAAGAACCAGGTTGATCTGTCTTTATATGTTCGTAAATCTCCCTGGCTCTTTCACAAATGAATTCAGTAGAAACTGAATCACCTTTCATCTGTTTTTCCCTAATCCAGATGAGAAGTAACCTCTCAGTTTCTGCAATTAGGGATCTACTTTTAAACACTCTGGTAGATTTGTCTCTCACTTTCACTTCTTTAAATTTGTCTTTCTGTTCAAGAATTGTCGACACAGTTGATGTCGACATGCCATATTCTTTGCATAGCACATTTGTTCTAATGCCTTGTTCATGTTTTCTTATAATTTCCTGCTTGGTTTGGATTGAAATCGCTTTTCTTGATCTCTTAGGCCCCATGCTGGACTCAAACAATGTCAACACGTGATCTTTTAGGTATAAACTTGTTGTAAATAAAGAATATTTTCTTTAAAATAACACTGCACTGCACTATATATTGTCAATATGTAAAATAAATTTCAAAATGACCAATAATTTGCTTGGAAACACAGAAAAAAGCATTTATGTTGAAGAAAGTCTCAAGCAAGATGTTACCTCCACTGAAAACAGAGAGAGACTAACGCTTGTTTGCTGTGTTAAGAGGCTGGATGGCGCGCATAAAACTAGTCACTTTACCTTCAATTATGTTCAATAATTATTGTTAAAATGACTAAAAAATTTAATATTAAACTTTTAAAATTATTGAATAGTATAAACTTCTTGGTATTTTCTAAAATAGTAAGGAATTTAAGCCCTAGAACCGATTACTGTATTGGCGGATTAATACTACAGCTGGTTGACCGCCAAGTGCAAGCGAAAACTTGTTGAGGTCGGTTCGTAAGAAACTCGTTAACCGAGGGATTGCTCGTTAACCGAAGTTAAGAATCTTATGGGAGGTAACTCGATAACCAAAATCTCGTTAACCGAGGGATCACTGTACATGAATTATTATCTGTTAAACTCTGGTAGCAAATTCACGCTTTCGGAGGATGCATTTAATATACTGTATACATACTTATTTTTACCCACAATAAGGCACACTGAGACAAATTAGATATCAGTAATACTACATTATGCAAAAACTAACATTTTAAAAGATTAGAATCACACTGATATATTACATGGCCGTCAACAGAGGCGGGAAATATGAAGTTGTCATGTAAACCATTAGTATGTGTTATATAAACCATTAGTATGTGTTATATAAACCATTAGTATGTGTTATATAAACCATTAGTATGTGTTATATAAACCATTAGTATGTGTTATATAAACCATTAGTATGTGTCATGTAAACCATTAGTATGTGTTATATAAACCATTAGTATGTGTTATATAAACCATTAGTATGTGTTATATAAACCATTAGTATGTGTTATATAAACCATTAGTATGTGTTATATAAACCATTAGTATGTGTTATATAAACGATCTAGTACAGTACAGTACCTCTAAAGGCTTATTCATGGCTGACAGTAGTGAGAATTAAGGATGAGACATTTTCCCTATTGGATGTTATTTGATGTTTTAATCCATATTTTTAATTTCACAGGGCTCCATCTTCTCCGTGAACTTCTGTCATGACCAGAAAGTGATCACCACCACATCTGATGACAGAAGTATAATTGTGTGGGACATTATTCCAGCACAGAAACAATCTGACAAGGATTCACACCCAACCTCTGCTCCCATGGACCCTGAGCAGGAGAGACACTACTGGAGAGGTGCACACATTGTACAAAAACTGAAATGTTACGGACACAGCGCGAGAGTGTGGAGGTCGCTCATCCTATCCTCATGTATACTGAGTGTCGGCGAGGACTCAAAAGTGTGCGTGTGGGACCATGAAGGAACTTTATTCAAGTCTTGGAAAGCTCACGATGGTTCCTCTATATGGAGCATTGCAGCTACAGAGTGTCAGACTAAAGTGATAACAGGGGGTGGAGACGGCAGTGTTAAGTCATGGAGTCTTAATACAAAAAGTTGTTCAGCTGCCGAGTCACTTGTTGACTTACCTTGGACCGCTGAGGTTCCAAGATCGTCGGATGAGGTTATGAATAAAAAATCTTTACAAATGGAAAACTTTACTAACAACTTCAGACAAGAAAATGAAGATTATGAGCCAAGTAGTGATGAAGACACGCATATAGAAAGTAGTAATTGTAAAACACTCATGAAAGATAAAATGAAAATATTAAAAAAATCTGAAGGACAGGGGAAACTAAAAGGGGATTTTCCAAGATGTGTTTCACTGTTGGGACTAAACAATTATCTGGTTGTGATGGACAGTGGAAAACTATATTGTTGGATGAAGAACTCTGCCTCTTGGTGTCTCAGCTGTGAGGACAAACGTCTGGAGAATTACGTGGTGATGGAGACGTGTCCTGACCAAAAACTTGTAGCAATTGGAACTTTGTGCGGTGACGTGATCATCCTTGGCTTAGGTAGGTTATTTACAAAATATTTATAAAGTTAATTCCCATAGATGATACAAGGTTAATGTTAAATTAAACCCGTATTACACGTGACTAAACCGGGAATGTTGTGGACGAGCGTTTGTACGAAATAGTCGGGCTGTTTTTCGCAATACTGTACTGTATCATCAGAGTCGTGTCTAGCACACTTGGTTCAGCCATTTTATTTCCTCAGCTACCAACCCACTTTCATATGTCACTTTATTAATTATGTTATTCTATTGATTTATTTATCATTTCAACACTTGGTCTATTTGTTGTCAGGCTTCCAACAACTGACTGCCAACACAATCTACAAAATGTTACCAGGTTTAACTTGTACACCACTGATGCAGCCTAATAACCTACTTCTGGCAGTACAATTGTGTGAGGGAGAACACTAAGCACTATATGAGGTGTCAAAAATATAGAATAACAAGACTTTATATGACATTTTGGGACGTCATAAATACCACATCACTTGGAGATATATTGTGTCTTCGAGGAGCAGTGTGAGGGAGAAATCAGATGGATATAATCGTCATATACATTGATGGAGACCAACTCTTGCTAAACAGTGTGGTGCAGTTGCTTATATTGTTGGAGTTTTAGTGATGGGAGAAGACTGTAGCGGGGCAGCTGTAAGTAGTTGTTGGTTGGCTGAGGCCGTGTACGACAACAAGTGTAACATGACACCGCTATAAAGTGATGGTTGTGACACTGAAAATATCTATTAAGAGAGATGAAATATACCCACGTGTGGGTGGGTGGGTGGGTGGGTGGTCCTAGCAACCTAGTGATGAATTCATAAGTGTTGAAAGTTTTGAGGATTTTCTGCACTGACTCAAGGAGGCATCTTGTCACACTCTACCCAGATATAGATGGTAGCCAAGTTATTGTTGATAGTACAGTATAGGACCTGGCTCTGAACAGGAATCTCAGCTTTATAACAATGATTTTGGCCAGAGATCCAACAAAGCATGGCCAGTAAGATTTGAGGTAAGAATGACTCCAGATATCTCAGTACTGTAGTCTGTGATGATCAGATGGTGTTGTGAGAATCTAAGTTACTATGTACGAGGTCAGACCTGTTACTAAACATTGCCTGGTGTAGCTATACTGATCAAGGATCCTTTATCCCATAAACCCTTGTGGCTGACTGTGTTTCTAGTTATATTACAGTAACATAAGACCTAAGCTATACAGTACACTACAGGCCAGGACTAGTTATATTACAGTAACATAAGACCTAAGCTATACAGTACACTACAGACCAGGACTAGTTATATTACAGTAACCTGAGACCTAAGCTATACAGTACACTACAGGCCAGGACTAGTTATATTACAGTAACCTGAGACCTAAGCTATACAGTACACTACAGGCCAGGACTAGTTATATTACAGTAACCTGAGACCTAAGCTATACAGTACACTACAGGCCAGGACTAGTTATATTACAGTAACCTGAGACCTAAGCTATACAGTACACTACAGGCCAGGACTAGTTATATTACAGTAACCTGAGACCTAAGCTATACAGTACACTACAGACCAGGACTAGTTATATTACAGTAACATAAGACCTAAGCTATACAGTACACTACAGGCCAGGACTAGTTATATTACAGTAGCCTGAGACCTAAGCTATACAGTACACTACAGGCCAGGACTAGTTATATTACAGTAACCTGTAGAGACCTAAGGTATACAGTACACTACAGGCCAGGACTAGTTATATTACAGTAACACATAAGACCCTAAGCTATACAGTACACTACAGGCCAGGACTAGTTATATTACAGTAACATAAGACCTAAGCTATACAGTGATACACTACAGGCCAGGACTAGTTATATTACAATGACATAAGACTACAAAGCTGCCAGTACTACAGGCCAGGACTAGTTATATTACAGTAACCTGAGACCTAAGCTATACAGTACACTACAGGCCAGGATAGTTATATTACAGTAACTTGCCTGAGACCTAAGGTATACAGTACACTACAGGCCAGGACTAGTTATATTACAGTAACATAAGACCTAAGCTATACAGTACACTACAGACCAGGACTAGTTATATTACAGTAACATAAGACCTAAGCTATACAGTACACTACAGGCCAGGACTAGTTATATTACAGTAACATAAGACCTAAGCTATACAGTACACTACAGACCAGGACTAGTTATATTACAGTAACATAAGACCTAAGCTATACAGTACACTACAGGCCAGGACTAGTTATATTACAGTAACATAAGACCTAAGCTATACCAGTACACTACAGGCCAGGACTGGTTATATTACAGTAACATAAGACCTAAGCTATACAGTACACTCACAGACCAGGACTAGTTAGGTTACAGTAACATGAGACCTAAGCTACAGTACAATTACAGGCCAGGACTAGTTATATTATGCAACATAAGACCTAAGCTATACAGTACACTACAGACCAGACTGGTTATATTACAGTAACCTGGAGACCTAAGCTATACAGTACACTACAGACGAGGACTAGTTATATTACAGTAACATGAGACCTAAGCTATACAGTACAATTGGCAGGCCAGGACTAGTTATATTACAGTAACATGAGACCTAAGCTATACAGTACACCACAGACGAGGACTATTATATTACAGTAACATGAGACCTGCTTGTACAGTACACTACAGACCAGGACTAGTTATATTACAGTAACCTGAGACCTAAGCTATACAGTACACTACAGGCCAGGACTAGTTATATTACAGTAACATAAGACCTAAGCTATACAGTACACCAGCAGGCTGTGACTAAGTTATAGACAGCAGTAACCTGAGACCTAAGCTATACAGTACACTACAGACCAGGACTAGTTATATTACAGTAACCTGAGACCTAAGCTATACAGTACACTACAGGCCAGGACTAGTTATATTACAGTAACATGAGACCTAAGCTATACAGCAATACAGGCCAGGACTAGTTATATTACAGTAACATGAGACCTAAGCCATACAGTACAATTACAGACCAGGACTAGTTATATTACAGTAACCTTGGAGACTATTACAGTACACTACAGGCCAGGACTAGTTATATTACAGTAACCTAAGACCTAAGCTATACAGTACACCACAGGCCAGGACTAGTTATATTGGCAACCTGAGACCTGTTTTCATACAGTACACTACAGACCAGGACTAGTTATATTACAGTAACATAAGACCTAAGCTATACAGTACAATTACAGGCCAGGACTAGTTATATTACAGTAACCTGAGACCTAAGCTAAACAGTACACTACAGGCCAGGACTAGTTATATTACAGTAACATAAGACCTAAGCTATACAGTACACTACAGGCCAGACCAGTTATATTACAGTAACATACATCTAAGCTATACAGTACACCACAGGCCAGGACTAGTTATATTACAGTAACCTGAGACCTAAGCTATACAGTACACTACAGCCAGGACTAGTTATATTACAGTAACCTGAGACCTAAGTTATAATACAGTACACTACAGGCCAGGACTAGTTATTACAGTAACATAAATAAGACCTGGGCTTATACAGTACACCACAGGCCAGGACTAGTTATATTACAGTAACCTGAGAGACCTAAGTTTATACAGTACACTACAGGCCAGGACTAGTTATATTACAGTAACCTGAGACCTAAGCTATATAAGGCACACCCAGTGCCAGACTAGTTATATTACAGTAACCTGAGACCCAAGCCATACAGCACTACAGGCCAGGACTAGTTATACACAGTAACATAAGACCTAAGCTATAGTACACCACAGACCAGGACTAGCTATATTACAGTAACATAAGACCTAAGCTGCTACAGTACACCACAGGCCAGGACTAGTTATTGTGCAACCTGAGACCCAAGTTTTTATACAGTACACTACAGGCCAGGACTAGTTATATTACAGTAACCTGAGACCTGCTTACACAGCACTACAGACCAGGACTAGTTATATTACAGTAACCTGAGACCTAAGCTATACAGTACACTATGGTAATAGGACTAGTTATATTACAGTAACATAAGACCTGGTTACACAGTACACTACAGGCCAGGACTAGCTATATATTACAGTAACATAAGACCTAAGCTATAATAGCACACTACAGACCAGGACTAGTTATAATACAGTAACATAAGACCTAAGCTATACAGTACACTACAGGGCCAGGACCAGTTATACAGTAACATAAGACCCAGGTTATACAGTACACTTACAGGCCAGACTAGTTATATTATTGTGCAACCTGAGACCCAAGCTATACAGTACACCACAGGCCAGGACTAGTTATATTACAGTAACCTGAGACCTAAGGTATACAGTACACTACAGGCCAGGACTAGTTATATTACAGTAACATAAGACCTAAGCTATACAGTACACCAAGGGTGACCAGACTAGTTATATTACAGTAACATAAGACCCAAGTTACAATAGGCCACTACAGGCCAGGACTATTATATTACAGTAACATAAGACCTAAGCTATACAGTACACCACAGGCCAGGACTAGTTATATTACAGTAACCTGGAGACCTAAGCTATGCTTGAAAGCCACTACAGGCCAGGACTAGTTATATTACAGTAACCTGAGACCTAAGGTATACAGTACACTACAGGGCCAGGACTAGTTATATTACAGCAACCTGAGACCTAAGCTATACAGTACACTACAGGCCAGGACTAGTTATATTACAGTAACATAAGACCCAAGCTATACAGTGCACACTACAGGTCAGGGACTAGTTATATTACAGTAACATAAGACCTAAGCTTATACAGTACACTACAGACCAGGACTAGTTATATTACAGTAACATAAGACCTAAGCTTATAGTACACTACAGGCCAGGACTATTATATTACAGTAAATAAGACCTGGAGCCATGCGGCCAGTACACTACAGGCCAGGACTAGTTATATTACAGTAACCTGAGACCTAAGCTATACAGTACACCACAGGCCAGGACTAGTTATATTACAGTAACCTGAGACCTATGTATACAGTACTACAGGCCAGGACTAGTTATATAGCACCTGAGACCTAAGGTATACAGTACACTACAGGCTAGGACTAGTTATATTGTGTAACATAAGACCTAAGCTATACAGCACACTACAGGCCAGGACTAAAGCTATATTACAGTAACATAGACCTAAGCTATACAGTACTACAGGCCAGGACTAGTTACACAGTAACCTGAGACCTAAGCTATACAGTACACTAAGGCCAGGACTAGTTATATTACAGCAATCTGAGACCTAAGGTATACAGTACACTCACAGGCCAGACTAGTTATATTGCTGTGCAACCTGACCTGCTTACACAGCACACTACAGGCCAGGGACTAGTTATATTACAGTAACCTGAGACCTGCTTTCATAATAGCATAACTACAGACCAGGACTAGTTATATTACAGTAACATAAGACCTAAGCCATACAGTACACTACAGACCAGGACTAGCATTACAGTAACCCGAGACCTAAGCTTACAGTACACCACAGGCCAGGACTAGTTATATTTACAGTAACCTGAGACCTGCCATACAGTACACTACAGGCCAGGACCTGCTATATTGGTGCAACCTGAGACCTAAGCTATACAGTACACTACAGGCCAGGACTAGTTATATTACAGTAACATGAGACCTGCTACAGTACACCACAGGCCAGACTAGTTATATTATTAGTAACCTGAGACCTAAGCCATAGTTGTACACTACAGACCAGGACTAGTTATATTACAGTAACATAAGACCTAAGCTATACAGTACACTACAGACCAGGACTAGTTATATTACAGTAACCTGAGACCCAAGCTATACAGTACAATTACAGGCCAGGGACTAGTTATATTACAGTAACCTGAGACCCAAGCTATACAGTACACTACAGGCCAGGACTAGTTATATTACAGTAACCTGAGACCTAAGCTATACAGTACACTACAGGCCAGGGACTATTATATTGTGCAACCTGAGACCTAAGCTATACAGTACACTACAGGCCAGAGAATATATTACAGTAACCTGAGACCTAAGCTATACAGTACACCACAGGCCAGGGACTATTATATTACAGTAACCTGAGACCTAAGCTATACAGTGCACACCAGACCACAGGACTAGTTATGGTATTACAGTAACCTGAGACCTAAGCTATACAGTACACTACAGGCCAGGACTAGTTATATTACAGTAACCTGAGACCTAAGCTATACAGTACACCACAGACCAGGACTAGTTATATTACAGTAAACATGAGACCTAAGCTATACAGCACCACAGGCCAGGACTAGTTTATATTACAGTAACCTGAGACCTGCTTACAGGCCACCACAGGCCAGGACTAGTTATATTACAGCAACATAAGACCTAAGCTATACAGTACACTACAGGCCAGGACTAGTTATATTATTGTAACATGAGACCTAAGTTATACAGTACACTACAGGCCAGACTAGTTATATTACAGAAAACTCTGAGACCCAAGCTATAGGGCCAGTACACTACAGACCAGGACTAGTTATATTACAGTAACATGAGACCTGGGTTATACAGCACACTACAGGCCAGGACTAGTTATATTATTAGCAACCTGGAGACCTAAGCTATACAGCACCACACAGGCCAGGACTAGTTATATTACAGCAACCTGAGACCTAAGCTATACAGTACACTACAGACCAGGACTAGTTATATTACAGTAACCTGAGACTTAAGCCATACAGCACTCACAGGCCAGGACTATTATATTACAGTAACCTTGAGACCTAAGGTATACAGTACAATTACAGGCCAGGACTAGTTATATTACAGTAACATAAGACCTAAGCTATACAGTACACTACAGACCAGGACTAGTTATATTACAGTAACCTGAGACCTAAGCTATACAGTACACTACAGGCCAGGACTAGTTATATTACAGTAACCTGAGACCTAAGCTATACAGTACACTACAGGCCAGGACTAGTTATATTACAGTAACATAAGACCTAAGCTACACAGTACACTACAGGCCAGGACTAGTTATATTACAGTACCTGAGACCTAAGCTATATAATAGTACACTCTGGGTGTCAGGACTAGTTATATTACAGTAACCTGAGACCTAAGCTATACAGTACAATTACAGGCCAGGACTAGTTATATTACAGCAATTGAGACCTAAGCCATACAGTACACTGCTGTGACCAGGACTAGTTATATTGGTGCAACCTGAGACCTAAGCTTACACAGTACACTACAGTCATTGTGACTAGTTATATTACAGTAACCTGAGACCTGTTAGAAGGCACCACCGCCACATAATAATGTTGTTGTTAAGCTAGAAGAAAATTGTATATACTTTGATGATATTTCTACAGTAAACTTAATTGGATGTGTTTTTTTTTTTAGATAGGTTAAAGCTTAGCTGTGGTTACCTAACTGACCTTACCTAACTGACCCACCTTACCTAACTGACCCACCTTACCTAACTGACCCAACTTACCTAACTGACCCACCTTACCTAACTGACCCAACTTACCTAACTGACCCACCTTACCTAACTGACCCACCTTACCTAACTGACCCACTTTACCCAACTGACCCACCTTACCTAACTGACCCATTTTACCTAACTGACCCACTTTACCTAACTGACCCACCTTTACCTAACTGACCCACCTTACCTAACTGACCCAATCCTACCTAACTGACCCACTTTACCTAACTGACCCACCTACCCAACTGACCCACTTTACCTAACTGACCCACTTTACCTAACTGACCCACCTTATTTTAACTGACCCACCTTACCTAACTGACCCACCTCACCTAACTGACCCACCTTATTTAACTGACCCACCTTACTCTAACTGACCTTTTAACTGACCCACTTACCTAACTGACCCACCTAACTGACCCACCTTACCTAACTGACCCACCTTACCTAACTGACCCAACTTACCTAACTGACCACCTACCTACTGTACAACCTTGACTTGCATTTATTTAACACAATTCATTACAACTGCCGTGTGTTTCATGACTGTCTTTGTTGTAGTTGTTGGTTCAATATACTGCACCTACAGAGGTTTGTCTTGGGGCATAGCACGATTACGTAATATTGCTACTTGACTTCTTCTGGGGTTAAGATTCCAATATATATGAGTATTCTGATCTCAGATTATTCTAAGGATTAAATTGGTCTAATCTGATAATTTTCCTCCTCTGTCTACCTTAATTTAATGGTCTTAGTTTTCCAGGTACCATAATTTTAACAAGCTATCACTTGAACATACCACCAGGAGATAGAGGCATCGGGGTTCTGCTGGAGGAGAAGGTGTGTGAAGGGAAGGTGTTTGGCCTCACCTGGCTGGCTCAAGACCACCTCCTCGTGTGTCGGGGGTCATGTCCACCTGGCTGTTCATCTCCATACAGGTAAATCTTAAAGGTTGACAATTTTTTTTTTTTGTAACTTGATTTCTTTATGGCAGAAATAATGCTGTACTGTAATATACATGTGAGCTGTAATTATTATTGCCGTGTAATCAACCTGTCCGTCTGTGTTGGTTTTCCCCTGGTGTGGACCATTGATGATATACCACATGGACAGTTTTGAAGAAGAGTTTTTGTTAATAACTCCAGTGAAACAAAGCCAGAGTTTTATTTTGTTATGATCAATGGATATGATACTGTACACATGCTAAACATAAATTAACACACCAACTCTTCATGAAAAAATGGAAAAGTGAGTATAGTTGCAAAGTCAGGATTGAGGTGACTTTGACAGCCCTGGGGTGACTTTGACAGCCCTGGGGTGACTTTTGGACAGCCTTGGGGTGACTTTGGACAGCCCTGGGTGACTTTGGACAGCCCCGGGTGACTTTGGACAGCCTTGGGTGACCTTGGACAGCCCGGGTGACTTTGGCCAGCCTTGGGGTGACTTTGGACAGCCCCGGGTGACTTTGACAGCCCTGGGTGACTTTGGACAGCCCTGGGTGACTTTGGACAGCCCCGGGTGACTTTGGACAGCCCGGGGTGACTTTGGACAGCCTTGGGGTGACCTTGACAGCCCGGGGTACTTTGGCCAGCCTTGGGTACTTTGGACAGCCCGGTGACTTTGGCCAGCCCTGGGGTACTTTGGAAAGCCCTGGGGTGACTTTTGGCCAGCCCTGGGGTGACTTTGGACAGCCCGGGGTGACTTTGGACAGCTCTGTGAGAGGCGGAAAATATATATAATGTATATAGTGTATATATACACAAAGGGTAATGTCAGTGTGTGGGTAGGGTATGGTGGGGTGGGGATGTGTGAGGTGAGGTGGGTAGGTAGGGTGGAATGTGTGGTGAGGTAGGTGGGTGGGGTAGGGATGTGAGGTGAGGTGTAGGGTAGGGTGTGGGGTAGGGTAGGTAGGGGTGGGGATGTGTGAGGTGAGGTGTAGGTGGGGTGGGGTAGGGTGGGGTGGGGTAGGGGTGGGGTGGGGTAGGGTGGTTGCCATAGGACCCATCAGAGGAATATTCCATACCCATGTACTGATGTTATTATAGACTGTACTGTATATGTACAGGGCGACCAACTATGGGTTAATGTACACATGGCTCAACTGATTTGTATTGAGATACTTTTCACAGTGCATACATTTTGAGAAAGAACTAGTGTGTGTGTGTTTGACTGCTTCTATCACTCTGCTGTAATATAAGGTTTCTCTGATCCCTGTGCTCTACTAATATTTACAGCACAATACAGTACATTACTGTATTATATGACTCAATACCATGTAATATATGCTTTAGTTACAGGATGAATACATAATTGGTGTATTATTTAAAGGTGAACTGCAGAAGGAGGGAGTTATATCTACCGGCCTGCAAGCAGCGGTGGGTGTCTGCGGCCTGCACCCACCCCATAACACCAGCAGCTGCTACTCACAAACTTATTTGTGGAGATCGTGCAGGTAGCCTTCACCTGTACATTCCTGATGTTAGTATTAACAACTTACTTCTGTGAAACATTTAATCCATCATACTTCTGATTCTTGTAGAGTATTGTAATGTTCTCCAGCCTCTCTCCTGAAGCTCACATTGTTCGTGTTCTGGGTAATAAGTTCAATATACAGACAACACAAACACCTGTATAATTTTGTAGGTTCGATTTACTGGATAAGAGATATGTACAAGGGAGAAGCGCCAACCTGTCTGGTCAACTGCTCTATAGACGACGTATGGCAAGTGATACATAACAGCTTCCATACGTCGCCAGGCACATTAATTAGGCATGTGGGACATTTTAAATATATTACACGCTACTAGCTAGGCTGAATAAATAATACATAAATGGAGCACATACATAAAATACATACATAATATAAATACAGCATACAGAATATACATACACACATGGTTTTAGTTTCTGTCTTGTAAACAAAGTAAACATGTTTTTGCTAATAGTTTAAGTAAAGTTTATAATCTTGGGATTTATATACAGATATACTGTAATGCATTTTAGGACCATATAAATTGGCAATGTAAAGTAGATACGGTTCGTCCTCATAATGATCTTCAAAGTGATGTGCTTCCCCGACTGAGTACTATCACCCTGTCTGGTCCCGAGATATGCTAGGAACTGTCAGTAGGTTGAAAATGTTCAAAGGAGGCCACCAGACTGGTGCCTGCACTTCGGCACCTCAGCTACCCTGAGAGATTGAGTGCCTGAACTTGCCTAGCTTATACTACAGACGGGCAAGGGTTAACCTAGTTGAGGTGTAAGCATCTCAAGAGGCACTACTCAGTCGAGTGTCCTTACCTGAGCTGGCGGACGCCGCCCACAAGGGGTCACATCTCAAGATTGAAGAAGCAGGTCCCGAAACTGTGAGGCAAACTTTTTCGGAGTGAGAGTTGTGAACTCGTGGAATAATTTGCCAGAAAGTGTTGTGACGGCACCAAGTGTGAGCTCTTTCAAGACAAGACTTGACCAACACTGGAGCAGGTTCAGGTACATTCAGGAGCCAGTGCATGCCCAGTACTTGCCAACAGGCGTAACAGAGATGGGACAGATCGCCAAGCGGCTAGCGAAGTCTATCAATGTGAAGAGGATAAAATTAAAACAAGTAAGGATCTGGAGGTGGCTGCTGTTGTGGGTCTACCATACAATCAAAGAGAATCAAAGCTTCTGATCTAATGACTGTGCTACCAAATCTTTCAGAAATACTTTGAGCCAAAATTTAGATGTGCCAGAACGAAATGCCTACAATTGCCTCAAAGGTATTTGGACCATTGGCCTTATCAGAACTGGATGAACAGTTGAAGGATGCTCATTGTGAAACAATATTAACTGATAAAGCAACCATTGAGCACCAAAATCTTCCCTATGAGGGTGTTCAAGTAACTTTGATTTTCAGTCTCAGCCTGGAGAAACCTCGATATTGTGGTGAACTATTTAACAGATATTATTAAAGAACATGATCTTGGCAAGAAATTACAGTAGTTTTTTCTACGGTGATAATACAAACTGTAATTTGGGTGGAGATAAAGAAAAGAAGTTAATAACATCTTCAGGAAACTTAATACTGTATTTACTAAGGCAGAGAATTGATTGGTATTGGTTGTTGTGCCCACATTTTACATAATGCTGTGCAGACGGCCTGCGACTGATTGCCAGTTGATGTGGAAACAGTTGTTGTTAAGATAAATTCATATTTATACTTGTATACCGTTAGAGTAGAAGACTTGAAGGACTTCTGCAATTTGTGGAGACTGAATATAAACAGCTACTGGGGTACTGTAAAACAAGATGGTTAGCTCTAATGCCTGCTGTTGAGAGAATTCTTAGAATGTTTCCTGGCTTAGTGGTATTTTCTCAGTCAAAGGAAGTGTCCTTGTAAGAGTGCAGGTTGCTACTACTTACTGCTGAACCACTGAGGCCACCAATTGCAAGAACGCCGCAACACAAGCTGCCACCCTGTGAGGGCTCGGCACTTTACAACTACGTTGATACTCTGACCTGGTAGCGTGACGGAGAGGAAGGCCCATGGGTACATGTAAATATAGTATCGAGTATTAGGGAAAGAACAACGGTGAATACTATAGGTGAATCATAGACCCACATACAAATACACTGTTTATTGAGACACAAAAATGGTTACAGAAAAGATGCTGTATGCACCCAAATAGGAACTCCTGGTACCACTCACTGGGTACTCACACCAAAACGCACTAACTCTCACAGCACCTTAGCACCAATAAACCTGTGGCACCTGCCAGTACAACACTACCCCAGGGGCAACACTCCAGTGGCAGCCAAGGGAGTCTCATTACCAAGTGACACTTTCCAACACTCGATACCGGTGGACTAACACCACCACACAAAATAGCCTTACAGAGCTATGTACTGTACCATCCACCAATGATGGGGCTGGCAGTGGTTTGTGGCTTGACGATCTGGGTTCACCACAGGCATGGCGTCAGGGGAATACTGGCCAGCTATGGGCCCCATAGGTGGTAGTGGAGCTTCTGACAGTCGGGGTTCACAGGATACCCGACTCTACTGGACCTCAGACATCTCCCCAGACTAGTGGATGCGTCAACATGCTACAAACACGTCCTAGGCTGCGATAGGGACCCTGGGGTGGAGGAGCATGGTTGACTGACTGGTCTGCACCCAACCTCCACGTTTCAAAGGGACATTAATGATATAAAATACTTCACTCAAAGCACATTAACTATGTTACTTTAACACTTGCACAAACAAACTACAGTTAGGTCAAATCACTAAAAATGGCGAATTACAACACGGAGAAGGTGGAGTGACCTACCTGTGGGGTGGAGGAGCATGCCACTGGTTTGAAAAAGCAACCTCCACCTTCCACCCACTAAAGTCACATATTCACCTACTCAACCATTTCACTGGAAATGCTACTGTAACACTCTGACGCTTGAAACTGAGACTACGAACTCAGTTTCATTCCCTACTATTATCTTTACAAACAATGATCTGACTGGAGCTATCAAAAGCAAGAATTAAATTGATAACAAAAGGTTGGATGGCAACAGGTCTTGCTGCAACACCCGGGAGCAGATTTTAAAGTTTTTCTTCCAGGAATATCAACTCATTCCTCAGTTAACCTCCTCACTAATTTCACTGATTATCAGAGTCTCTGCTAATCATAGGTGAAAAAAAGGTTTACAGGTTCTCGGTAGCAGAAAGAATTTACAACTACAGTCAACAAGCATATGACATCTCGATGACGCCATCAAAGAAACAGGAGAACGGAGGACATTCCCACTGGGAGACTCAGAAGGTTTTGTGGACGTAAGCTGCATGGATCATTAGTTTAACAGGTTAGCCGTCATTACGATCATGACATCCTGTTGTGCTAAAGATTTGATTTTTTTGAGAACCTTTGTGCAGAAGTCTGGCTCAACTTTGTGCATAGTCAGTCAGCCACCTCCATCAGGTCATCTCAAAGATTGAAGAAGATACAACAGCAGTAGAAGTTATGATCACAATCAATGATCTGATGCAAAATCTGTAATCCAAGAAAGATAATCTATTTTTGCCACATTCAGTGAGGGTCGTAGCAAACAAACTTGAAGAAGACGGATTATTTGACTCATCTGCACTGGAGAAAACTCTAGCTAGATTTTTATGACACATGTGTTCAGTATTTAGGCCAGTGGTCAGGTCACTTGCAAGACTTTAAACATAAGTAGGGCTTCATTAGCAAATATGGCAAGACATTAAGAAAACAATGGATTTTTTGCAGAAAGAAATTCTATGACTCAAAGTTTGATACTGAGTTATATGGAGGAGTTTTGCTGTGTTGCAAGTTATATCTCTGAGGAAAAAGTGTCATAGTGGAATGTAGCTAAGTTACTTACAGACCAGCACTGGCGCAGAATTGATCACTCACTTTGAGGACAGATATATTACCCACCAGCACATGTTAAAATTGGTTCAGTTCATTCTGTGTCTTCCTGGAACAAATTCATCTACCCAAAGTGTTCTCTCAGCTAAACAAACTGTGGACATTTGAAAATCACAATTAAAAGTCCCAACCCTCAAAGCAACTCCAGAGATGTTAAAACAAATCTTATCCAGTGAAAAGTACGATCATTAGAAGGTAAGTTGACAAATGTTATGTATAATTGTTTTGGTTTTTAAAGGTGATCTGTGTGTGGTCAGTGTTGGTGTACGGGTTGTAGGGTTTTGATTTGATGATTTTTGGTATGTCCACTTTAGCTCCAACGTATGTCGCTTTAGCTCCAACATGTGTCCGCTTTTAGCTCCAACGTGTGTGTCCGCTTAGCTCAACGTGTGTCCCGCTTTAGTCTGTGTCCCCTTTTAGCTCCACCGCGTGTCCCTTTTGGCTCAACGTGTGTCCCGCTTTAGCTCCAACGTGTGTCCGCTTAGCTCAACATATGTCGGTTTAGCTCAGCGTATGTCCCGCTTTAGCTCCAACGTATAGTCCCGCTTAGCTCAGCGTATGTCCGCTTAGCTCCAACAAATATGATCACTTTAGCCACATCCGCCTTGTCCATCAGTGAAATTTTATCATATATCTATGATGGTTAGTTTTTATACTATACTAGAAGCATTGCAACATATTTGTGCAGTAATTGCAATTATGTTAATAGTCAACATTGATTTATCCTTAGGGCCTGCTTAGGGCACCCACCTCCTTCTTACGAAAATTTCAGTTATATGTCAGCATTCCCCACGCTTTGAATACAAACGCGGGACAGTCCCCATAGGGAGATCTCAAGCTGAACGATCTTGAATATGGCCCTATATTTGACCCTGGCTGGATCAATGCCAGACTTCCACACTACACTGTGTAACAGTGTAGGTTACTCATACACCTTTTATTTTGTCTCTTTTGTTTGTGATGGAGCTCTTGGCTTACACTGTGCAAAAATCAAACTTGACAGCACTGACATGAAAACAAAATGAAATAATTTAAGGTGTTGTGTTGCATCAAATTATGTTAAGTCAGGAGTCTAGTGTACTGTACACTGTGTCCATCTCATAGTCATTCCTTTTCTAACCTTCATCACCACACCACACCTTCCTTGAAGCTAGGTACATCTATATCACCACTTTCACGGCTTGGGGCTGTGAAGGGAAGATGACCTGTGTGGGATTATTCCATTGCTCTTGATAATTTTGTTTGGGTTTATTTTCAAGCCCAGTACTGTTTTGACTCCACCTTGGGCTGGTAGTAGGACCGTTCATAGGTCTACCAGCCTCTGTGTAAGGTTTTTCCTTATGTTCACTGTGAATGATAAATTCTGGCCAGCTTGTAGTTGTGTCCCTTGTGTTGGTGTGTGACATCACAAATAAATGTCCGGGGTTCATGTTTTCTCATCACTTTCAGGATTTTTATGTTTCACTGAGATCTGTCCTCTTGTGTCTTTATGAAAGGGGTTGTTAGTCCTAAAGGCTTACAGTCTACTTAGATAATGGAGATGACATAGTTCCAGACTCATCTAAGTCCTCCGTGTTGCACTTTTTGGTAAGCATTTTAACAGTAAGTATATAATAACTATAATGATAAATAAAACAATTATATAACTATACTGAACTAACACATAGATCTATTTAGGAGAACAACATGGGTGGAGGTTATAAGATGCAACATGATGTTAGTTAAGAACCTGAGAAGAGAGACCGCAGCATCATGGAGAGCTGCTATCAGGTTATTGAGGCTGTCCATGCAAGTGTAAAATAGGCTTGAAATGTTGATGATGATGATGCTGTGATTTTTATTATTACTGTCCACTGTATTCTATTACTGTCCACTTATTTATTATATTTTATTTATTTGATCTCCTGTGTGAAGATGATCATCATATACTACAAATGATTATTGGGCCATTTATTGTGTTAGATCATTGGAAAGGGTAGTTTTGTGGTGCGCATGTGGTGCTCCTGGTACTGTCCTGTGTGAATAATTATAGTTTACCGTACAGTGCTATACATGAGGTGGGTCTTGACTATAGTATTGCTCTGAATATTTATTTAATTGTGAGTTAATTTCAGCAGTTTGTTGGATATTCAATGTTTGGTAATTTGAATGATCCAGGCTTTGATTAATATTGATAAGTGAAGGTTTAATGAGATCAATTTTTGTTTACTCTGGAGGTTTACTGTTAGTGTTACAGCAATACAAACGGAACGAAGCACACTGA